CCCCCCGGAAAGACCCACTTTGTTGTTCTATCTGGGTGTCTGCTTCTCAATTCCTTCAGTGCCACCTGGGTGGGGGGTCTGTATGACTGAACTGTATTTGGGACACCTCAAAGATGAAGTGGTGAGGAAAACCCCTCAATTGGCTGAGTATACTCTAAATAGATACTGAAAAATTCTCATTTGCTTATGTTTTCTATATATATGCACGTTTTCCTCTTCTGAATGAACTGTAAATTTGAGAAAGGTGCTAAGTTTTGTAACCCCAAAAATATACATTTATCGCATGTCTGAGTTTAACCATGTGAGGAAAAAAACCACAGCCATTACGTAATTATTAATCTTGTAATGTGATTGCAATGTAGCACAAGAAATAAGGTATTTTGAGGTCAAGTAGGTTTGTGTCCCAGCTCTCTCACTTTTTGTGTGGCTTTGAACAAGTTTTTAAATCTTTCTAAAATTTCACTTTCCTCATTTATGAACAGAGGAAAATAATAGTACCTAACAAATAAGGTTGTGGTGAACATTAAGATACAATGCATACACGGTTCTTAACAGAAAGCCAGCCTGCGGGAAGCATCTAATCGGTATCTACTATTATGTTAATGTTGTTGTCATGATGGCTATAAATTCACACATATATACTAGTTCCATATTAAGTAATAGGATGATTCTATAAATCCCTAAATACATACACAAAAATGATACAGAGAAGATGATGCTTAAGATAACTGAAATGAGGTGTTAAGATTTGATCAGGATACTTTATGATATGTATATGCCTCTTGCAATAAGAGTCAGTGGGCAGCTAATGGGATAAGTCTTTGATGCCTGGAAGCTTTGTTTTCCTGTTCTAAAAGAGGCAGAAAACTTTGATTATATTATTTTTAGAGCTCTGTACTTGTTTTGGAAGGATAAGCAAATAGAAACAGGTCAAATATTTTGCAAGACAGGTATTTGTCTTTTAAAAGCCTATGGGTAACTTATAGCAGCAGGTATTCCAATATTCATTCACATGTCTCCTGTGTGCCATTTGATTTACAGTCTCCTGATTGCTATCTTATGGTGAATTGTTCTGTTTATAGCTTCAAAATTGCTATCTGGGTGACAGTCTTCTGTTTCTAATCTTAAGATGGTTGTCTAGTGGCTTTGCTCCCCATGGCTTATCATGCAGCTTGATAACACTGTGGAGGGAAATACAATTAGCTAACCATGCACCTGCTCAGTTTACAGTTTTATGAGCCCAACTTGTAGTATGTTATACATTATGGGGTTTGTGATTGATCTTGAGAATAGAGATTTTTGTATGAAGTTATATAAAGATGTGTAAGTATATCTTTAAATATTTTACATCTCTATTCTGTATGTATGTCTGTATACTACATATACATCTCTATATATTCTGTATATATATGTAAGGCTGTGTATATGCGTCTCCTCATAGGGACTTTTTAAATTAAACAATTGTGAATGCAGGATCTTAAGAGTATAAAGCAGTAGAAGTAACTAGAGTCAGAATTTTGACATTCATTTTAGCCTTGTTAGAAGATCTTACATTCCTCTTTATATATGTCACAGCTTCTCCATGATTTTTTCATCTCATCACCATTTTAAATGAAGCTTTGACATTGGATCAGAATCAGATTCTAATACTATGAGTATTTTAGAAGTTTCCAGTGACCACTTAGCCTATAATAAACTCTAGAAAATTTCCCAACTTATATAAAGTTTCACCTCTATTAACACCAATATATGTAATAACATTGCTAGAGATAAGTGTAGCTATCTGCAATATTCTCTGATATATGTGGGGGACAAAGTGGTGCCTTACCAAGCAGATTTATAACACCCTGGGCAAGGCACACCATCAGTAAGCTCTCCACATAGTGGTTAATTGTTTCAATTATTTTACTTTTGATTATGTTGCACTTATCTTTCTTGAATGAAAGAAACCTCATCCTCCATTATAGATAAGTTGCTCCCAGATAGTTTGAGGATGTGGAGTAAAGTTTTTAGTTGCATCAGAAAAACAATTTTCAAGGGAATAATAGACTATTGACAGTCTTGACCTGTGTCAGTATGTCAACTTTACATGTGTGCTCATCAGAACGTGGTTACTCTTTAGCAAAGGAAGAAAGAAAAGTGGTAACTAATTAAAGAAAGATATTTAAGTCTGAAGATGCAGGTTTGAGAGTGAGTACCATCACTTACTAATAGTTGTATGATTCTGGTTTAGGCTTGTTATTTCAGTTTTCTTTTCCTTATATGGGTGACCAGGACTATTCCAATGATACTTACCTCAAAGGGTGTAGTGATCCAAATGAACCAACGTATGAAGAATGAATTTATAAAACACTATGTAATTAGTAGGTAGTATAGCTGCTATAAATTAGCATGGTGCCACTGGAAGTTTCAATTGTACCTTAAAGCATTAGAAATGCAAGTTGTTTCTCCTCCTTTTTCAGTTTATCAGTTGTTTGAAATGCATCATGCCCTGACATATCTCACCCTGAACACTATGAAATGACAATGATTTCGGATGAAAGGGCCAAAACATATAAGGGGGTGTATATGTGCTGGGCCATGCAAATAGCAGGAGGTGTTATTAACAAGATCCTTAAAGTACCACAATTGGACAGGTTTGAGAGAACTCACTCCAATATATTATGTTGAAAATACATTTTTTGTCTACTGACACAGTCAACATTCCATACAGTCAAATAATTATAGTGGTTTGAAAGAATAATACAATCTCTAATCAGAAGTTATTGAAATTTTGAAATTCTTATACTTTGGAGGCATGGAGTAATAAATAATGTTTAAGATTAAAAGTTATATGAGAAGATGTTGAGAGAGGATCTTGCTCATGTCACCAATGTCTCTGAAATCACTCTCACACTGTTAAGTGGGCTTGTTATAAGTCACTAGTCAGTTGATTATTTACTATTTTCCCCCCCACTGCTATAGTAGTAACATCCGATGATATTCTTTATAACCAAGGGCTTGCCAGGATACATTTCATAAACTGCAATGGGGGAAGAAAGAAAAAAGTATATAAAAATATTAATGTTATTTGGATGCAACCTACAAAATATTTTATAATTTTTTATATTCTCGGAGAAACCAACCAACCAGAGTTAATTAAGCATAGTCTGCACAGATGAGTAAATCTGTACACATCAATGGGCATATGCAGTGGATGGTAGAAACATATGGAACATATCATAACCCAAACACCAAAGAGTTCTGAGGAATGATTAATGAGATGCATAAATATGGACAAAATAAGCCCATTTTTATATCTTCAGATTATTAAACCTGGAATAAATCTTCTTCTCTGCCATTGGTTTATAACAAATTTCTGACACAAAAGAGAACATTTGTTTCATATTTTATTGAATTTCATTTATATTAAATTAAAAATATATTTCTGACAGATTCATGTAACAAAAAGGCAGAACAGTTTTCAAATTGTTCAGCTGGGATGATCAGTATGGAATGAGGCAAAGCAGTTCGCATTCTATAATTGCCTTGTACAGGTACAATTCTTTCCCAAGAGCCAAAAGAGGATCCTTGAGAACTAACTGAAAGGCCTAATTACATAAGTTTAAAATACTGTTTCTCCCTCATTCTCAAATAACAACAGGAATAAGGGAAAGGAAGGAGAATGGGTAGAAGATTGGTGAAGAAAAAAGAATAAGAGAAAGTATACTAAAAATATACCTAACATTAAAAAAGTTAGTATGTGTTAGGTGCATAATCCTTCATCAACAACATAGAAAAAAATCAAAATAACATTACACCACACACAATTGGCATATCCTATTGTGTAAGCGAGTGCAGAGGTTGAACACATCACAATAGTGCTGAACACAGAATCACAAGTAATGTCAAAATGATAGCTTCCAACCAAAAAAGAAACAGTCACAAGCCAATTACTTATATACAAATCAACCCTAAAGACAATTATGTTCCAAATAAAGATGTCCACAAAAGATAATCAAAGCAACATTATACTTATTTACAAATGCAACTAGCCATGTCTTTAACAAGCTATAAAAATACTATTCACATTTTCAAACATACAGTAGTATTTTTTTGTTTGTTTCAAAAAGGCAGCTAACTTTGAATGCATGGATTTAAATTAAACATTGATGGCTTACCAGCAAGGTATTTTTGCACCCCAGTCCTTTGAAGATACTTCACAAGAGAGAGGGCTTGCTTTCTGCTTACAAGTTAAGAAAATAAGGAAATGAACACAAATGTGTATACCTTAAGCCTCTGCCTTTTCAGTAAAGTGAGTCCCTCTCTCACACAAACTGATGTCAATAAATTACTTTGATGCATGTATGAGATGAGTGTTTGAGAGTAGATTTAAGATGACTTTTCCTGTGCTATGAATTGTCTTGCACGTTGATCTCATTTTCATTTGATCTTGTTGTAATGGTGCTCAAGAAAGAGATGAACTAGTCATACCATGTGAAAATGCAGTTTCAACATGCAGCCACGCAATTCCTGGTGCCCTCAACATGAGAAATAGACACAACAGCCAGGGAGACATGCATTCAAAGTTAGCTGCCCTCACACAGCTGCTCCGTTTAATAATCGACCCATTTAACAGCAGTACCAGTTTATGCTACATATTTCAAAGTACCTTACTTTAAAAGAACAGCTTACATATCTACATTTAGAAAATAACTTTCATAGTTGATAACTGGAGTAATCCCAAAAAAGGTTCTTGGAGTGCTATGGTTGTAGTCCCCTCACTCCCCCCTCCCAGCCCCTGAGAGATCCAGAAATATACAGGAGAATGACTCTCACATTAAGGGAAAAGGACAACCCCCCTATTAACTGAAAAATATGGAAATGACACTTGAAAACCAGGTTCATGTCAATATCTAGGAGGTATGATTTTGCTTTTCTTCACAAAGGCTATAGGCCTGGGGGAAACATCTATACATTAGGGATAAAAATAGCACTAAAGGCAAAGTGCTTTGGACAAGTTAGACTATTGCCTACAGGTATGAATCTTTGTTTTCCTATATTTGTGTATTTGCACAAATATAACCACTTCTCATGATAGAGGGAAAGCTCACTAGAGCATGAAAAGAAAAATGTAAAGAACAAAAGTAGATAAAGGATAACATTCTGTTAGACAACATAGATTTTCATTAACATGAACTGCGCTCATTATGTGTTTGTTAGACGGATGAATGAGCCAAAAAAGAATTGCAGGTGGTTCTCAAAGCTGAATAGCCTTTACCTTTATGATAATAAAATTCCTCATGGGGGGGGGGGAAACAGCAGCTACAAAATGTTTGCGATCAAGAATAAAATAAGATGAATAAAGTAAATAAGTTAATTTGCTGGCAAAAATAACTTATATGTACAGCTTTTATGTAAAGATTAAAGTTCTACCAAGGGTATGTGCACGTATGTGAATTTCAAGATTCCTCATAGGACTATCTTATCTTAAATTCCTATAGGGAAGGACACAGAATCAATCGATCATGGGAAACCATAATTTTAATAGCTTAAATATTCTCTATGCAGTAGTTTGAAAATTCATTTAAATAGTGTCCAAATTGCTAGAATCCCTTATGAAAAAATCGGGTATTCGAGGGCAAAGATGAAGTCAGTGTTTCACAACGCGGAGTGTGGCAGCTCAGAGATCCACTATGACTTAAGAAAGGGACAGGACAGCATCAGGTGGCCTATGTTGGATCAGGATAGTAGAAAGGGAAGAGAACAGTGCCAGTTGTGTCAATGGGCTAAAAAGGGAAAGATTCTATTTTCCTCTCAAGGTCAGAGAGAAATACATTTTTCTGTGATGCCTAACGAGATAATTACTTACTTGCAAAGCTGACTGTCAAAGAGTATTTTCCAGAAGAAGCATGTGAATACCCCCATGAAATTGGGGCTTAGAGTCATTTTAGCTCGTGACTACAGAAGCATTTTCTTCTGCCCAAAATACCACCTCGCCAGGAATTAGATGAGGCAGGAGCCTGCAAAAGTGACAGATCCTACATTTTTGGACCTCTACAAAATCAGTGAGACTTGAACCAAATATCTGAAATTTCTATTACTTTAGACTTTTAATGAAAAGAAAAAAGCAGCTCACACTGCTAAAAAAAATTTTTTGCCCATATAAACACAACAGGCCCTGGCCGGACAGCTTCTTGTTTCCAACTGCAGAGATAACTCTTCTTGCAAAGGCATCTCTGGGATCGGAAAAACTATTAATTCTACCCAGAAGTATAAAAGCTGGCCTCATTGTAGTATCAGTAGTATTAAGCGGGTCTCCACTGATAATGATCTTTTACAATTACACTTGATCTACGTCTGTATATTTGTTTTAAACAAATGGCAACCAGGGGATACCAATCTGCATTTATATGTTTAGATAGGGCAGGGCTGTCCTTCAAACTGATATACACCAAAGTTCTTGTACACAGAGAGGCACAGCAGGATCCTCTGCCCACAGTATGTACAGTAGAAGTTCATTTATCTGGCTTTTTAAACAACTAAAAGCTGATACACCTGGATTTCTCATTTGCCCTATAACAATCATCATTCTAATAACTAAAGTCCAAAAGAATGGCAATGCAGTAGTTTGAAATGCTTGGTTCAGCATTTATTTATCAGAAAAGTTGTGATTCTTTGTTGTCATTTTTGGAGGCAAGAGGGCATAGTGAGAAAGGAAAGGACATATCACAAATTAAATGTATTTTGCTTGTTTGCTAAATCATTCATCTTCTTTTGTCTCTGAATAAGGTAATAGAACATTTACATTTTCTTTACTTCATCTTGAAGACCCCTTACTTAGCCATATGTAACATGTTTGCCTGTTAAATTCTGCAAGGTGGTGTTTATTTAAAAAAAAATAATTTTTTTTACATTTAAAAAGTGACAAAGGAATAACAGAGTGAGAAAAAATTGTTCATTGTAATGCTTTAAAGCAATTTTTTAACAAGTGGAACCATATATGTCTACTTTCAGCTAAACCCAACAAACAACAATTTTAAATGGCAAACTTATTTTTTCACTAGGCAAAATCCATTCTACATTTTTATGTCCTGCATTTAACTTTGTTATACTTGTGGTTAGTTTTCTAGTTTATTTAATAATAATAAAATCATTTAACATCTGATAACCTAACTAAATCTACATCTTATAGCATTATCATGGTTCTGTCCAGTTATATACATGCTTTCATGATCACCTTTTCTATTACCTTATGAACTACATATACTAAATTATTAACAATTACAAATGGATGAATAACTCCAGTTTTGAAATAAATGTTAGATAGCTCTAGAAAAACTTGTATTTACATCCTTCCCTGTCAGGCTTAAACAATTTTAATTTCCTTTTCATGTCTGACACTTCAAGAAGCACATTAATAGTACTTCCAACTTCATCTAGCAGCAGAGCCTCATAGTTCTTTTCTCTCGATTTTTCCTTAGCATTGTAAATATGCACAATCTTCATGGCATGTCTTTCCTTTAGAAGGTATTAGTTTACATACTATAACACTTAGAAGAACACTATGTCTTCTCTTAAATTAGATATTCAGCCCTTCTTCCTAATCTACAAAAAAAAACCACTTGATTTTAGTTTGTGCGTTTTAATAGAAATTTGAGTTTTGCATTGTTTTTCATGCTATTTTAAGAACGTTATCAGAGGAAGGATTCTCATCCTAAGCTGTGCTACTAATACTATGCAGAAAACCAGGAGCTGCTTGGTAGTCTAACACCTTTTGTGGTGCAGATGATTCATGATTCTGGATCTACCCTAGTTCAGAGGCCGTCTTTTCTCACCTGTTTAGGTACCACTTTCTTTCGGCAATCATTTAGCTGCAAAGTTTTGCCTTTCCTGAAAATAAGATTGCCCAAAATAGGTATACTTTACAAAGTTGGGTGATATAAAAAATATAGTCATTGTAATTTTAATACTAATTTTCCTCAAATTTATATAATTGATTCTGCATATTTCAATTGCTACAACTGGCCTATGGAATCTGATATCCCCCAAAGCACTTTGAAGACTTTAAGTGACATTTTAAAATTTTACCCTACTGGGCTAAATAGGTTTTTCTCTGAAATGAATGAAACTTTTTTCCTCCCTCTTCCACACTCTGAAATATGTTTTTCCAGGGGGACAAAAATAAAACAAAAAACCCTCAACTGAAGTCAATAACATACTGCAGAAATCATTCAAAAGGAATATAAAATGGTGCTATTGCAGAATTTGGGTCATTTTGGATTATGCCTGCATCCATCTCTAGGTATTACCTGACATGTAGAAGTCTTGTGTTCTTAGGAGGAAAGAGACTACATTCACTAAATATATTTTTGTTACCTTAACAGTTAAAAGTTAACTATTTTCTTCCTTCTCCAAAGTAAGTTATTCTGCTTTTTATATCCCAGTAGAAGCCATATGCACATTGTAAGTCAGAAAAAAAAAAATCAAGTTATAGTATCCAAAAAGGAGGCTATGATGACTTGCTGCAGATTTATTTAGAAAGGGAGGCTTATATTCAATTTTGTATAAGAACTGATATGAAATCCCTTTTCTTAGAGACTTCTCTGAATGGATAGGAGAGCTCTGAGCTATTAGGTTGTGGCTCCTGAATTACTCTTGTGTCTTTAACCCTGAAAAGTTTGAGGATGAACTTCACTAGAAGGGATCTCACAAACCCCTCCCCTGCTCTACCATACTTTTCCAGCTTGCCTCAGTTTTTACAGCTTAGTAGAAAACCAATTTCAATGTCTTCAACATTCTTGGCCAAGGACCACCATCTGCTTTTGGTTTAATGGCAAAGTTAGAATCTATATAGGCTAATTAGCCAGTGATGTAACATTCTTCTAGGCCAGCTTATGTTTGAATAATAATATTGAAACTATCGTATTTGTCCACTTCAACAATTTGAAGGATGTTTAACTTATTTCCCAAATGAGTTCAAAGGAGATACTTTACTGAACAACTGATTATATGACAGCCATTCCCAAAAGAGACCATGCAATCTGATTCTTTGAACTCACAGAAAAATTAAAATGTCATTCTAATTAAATCTCCTAGATGATACAATTTTGAAGTTGGGGATGATCTTCCATTTATCTGGGTGTTTTCCATAAAACATGGTGCTTTTAGTAGATAGTTGGATAAATGAGTTTTGGATGGATGGATGGATGGATGGATTTACTTGTTCAGAATAGGAAGAAACACAAATTTCTTCTGATTTTTTTTTTCTCTAAACCCTCTGCTTTAATAGCTATTTTTACTCTAATTAATTAATCTTACACTATTGACTCTAATTTGGTCCCGAGATTTTAACATTAGAAAGAAATATTTTTTAAAAATCTAAATGACTTGGGGTAGAATTTTCAGAAAAGGGGGATTTATATCTAAGTTTCCTAATTATTGATGTGAGGCCCCATTTACCTGGAGACTCATTCCTGTCATTTGTTCCCATCCTTCATCTCATCAGGTATTCTTTCAAAATGATACATAATAAATATGGTTTTAGTACTAGATGTAGTATATGAAGAAAATGAATTCTATAAAGTATCAAAAGATTCGTGTGTTGGATAATAAAATAATTGCATGAGAAGATTTTTCACATTTATTTACAACTTTTGACCCAAGGACCTATCCATAAGCCTTGAATGTTTGTGTTTTTCTTTTTATTATGCCAATTTATGTGCAAAGAGTTTCCTTCTTCTTCATATAGAGTTTCATACTAGAAATTCCATGGAATTCAAGCCAATCCTTACTTGCATTCCTTCTTATGAAGTATACGAACTGAACAAATTTCCTTGCGTAGCAAAGGTGATGCCATATGGGGATAATGTGCTGGCCTCTCATCACAGTCCCTGGATACCGTTGCAAGCTTCCTAATTTGCTTGGTTTGGCATTTCCACAGTCTTTATCTTAGCTCTTTTTTAAAAAATGTACTTAAATTAGTTAATTTGCTGGTTGCTTCCATATTGCTTGATTCAAAATCCAAAACGGAGTTCAGAAAAAGAACAAATAAAATTACAGCTTAAGTGCAAACTACATTTCTGAGTTTTTGCCAAGTAGACATACCCAATCCAGTGTGTTTCTTCCAGTTCAATAGATTCCCTCATTGGACCACCCCTGAAAGTATCAGTAGTTTTCTTGAACTACACAAAACTGTCTCTTAGATTCCGTTCTATACTTCAGACAATCAACTGCTTATCAAGTACTGTCATTTATGGAGAAAAAAATGTTGAAAAATATGAAGGATGAGGGTGAAGATAATTTGATAGCATGAAAAATGAAAGGTAAAATAAAAAAATATTAGCCTCCCTTTCTTATTTTAAAAATTGTATACTTAAAATAGTGGCCATTTTACCATATTAAAATATTTCTTGCTTAATTCTGTGAAGAAGCTTTGACGTAAACATCTTTGCAATTAGAAATTAAAGCCAAAAATAGGGAAGCAACTATATAAAAGAATTGGTCATAGAAAACAAAATGGAAAAAAAAGCCTTCAAAACATAATTACTAGTTATATCTTTGATGAAGATTTTTAAATTATAAGCTGGGTTGGCCATTCTTACTTGCTAGGACAGAAACTGTTGGAGAAATAAACTGGTTTCTCAATCTCCGACATTATCATATGTTATAGAAAATGTTATTTTTTTGTTCTAATGAAAACTTTATTATGATTTCCAGGGATGCTCAGTATGTACACATCAGTTCCCACAGGTAGGAACAGATAACATGGGTGTTTCAACCATCTGCTTAAAAAAAAAAAAAAAAAAAANAAAAGAAGTGACAGCCAGTTTGATAGTAGGCGGTATTGCCTTACATTTTCTGGTCCTTCTCTAGCTGTTTCATTCTCCTGACCAACCCATGCAGAGAAATGAAGAAACACTGTGGTTCCTCCTATCTTTCTCTTTCAGTCTTTCCCTCTAGTGTTCAAGATAGATAAGCACATAACTATCATTGCATCTCTATATCTTCCACTGGGAAGTGTCAAAACTACTGGCCTTGGAGTAGAAGGAAGACCACCAGAGAAAGAGAGGGGGGTGGGGAAACTGGAGCATGTGTGTGTCTCCACCTAAAAATAACAACTGAGCTTACACCACAGTATTCCGGTGTCTGTAAGGTGGAGGTGGCAGCACAGTGCCTGGCTTCAGGGAGAACTCAGAGAGGTATTCAGGATTCTCTGCCACAATAGGCCGGATCCGCCCATTCTGTTTATAAAAATATTTTGTGCTGTACTCCTGCAGGTAGTCTGGGTGCTGGAGGGTGCTCCGAGGTGGCAGGCTGTGGTTCCAGTAGTCAGGGTTGTCAAATGCTTTCTTGGCCTTCTCTGGCACAGACAGTACATTGTTCTTCAGGTACTCAGCTTTTCCCAAGGCGTTGGCAAAGGTGTTGAGGTATAGTGGCTCATTCACATACTCGTCCTCGGCCTTGGGTGGACCATTGGATGCGTTGTGATATTCAGGATTATCCAATGCTGGAAGGTCTCCGTTTTTTCTCCGAGAAACAAAAGGGTTCTCCTCCACTGGATTCAGGTATTCTAAAGGAATAAAAAAAATCGGCTAATCTCAACTTTCTGGAAAATATTAATCAGGCCAAAGTTATGCATAATTGTTAGCTTCTTTGTCTAGAACAACAACAACAACAAAAAAAACAGACTTGTTTTCTGGATTACTCAAAACAATTATTTGTGGATTACTATTGCCATATGAAAAAAGTGGACCAAAAATGTTTATAGCAAAGCAAGAAGCCAATGAGATCAGAATCAGAATTTCTATCTCCAAAATTTTTCTTTCCGTCTAATTGCATATGGGGCCAATTGTGTAAATGTTTTTGTTTTCTAAAATGTATTTATATTAGGAATCAGACTACTTCTCAAAATTAAATAATCTTTAGATATTCAGACAACTTAATTTCTGTAAAGGATATTGAAAAACTAAAGAGTCTATAGCTTTTTTCCATGCCAAGATGAATAGATGGAGTGAAGAAATCACGTTTTTTAGTATCTAGTTTTGGTATGATCGTCTATACTGGTAACAAGGATTTGATTGGAGATGCTTCTGAAAAAGGTTTTACACATGGGAAAGAAAGCATCAAAGGGAAAAAAAAATCAACTAAAGAAGCAAACCTAACAGGTATCTAACATGCCTCTAGTTGACTTGCTTGACATTACATATACTTCTACTTAATAATAAAATATAATTATAATATTTCCATTGAACAGTCATAATCATAAAATAGCAAACTATTAGCTTAAATCATATAAAACAGCCATTTTGCACATTGAAACCAGTCAATTAGCCCCTTTTTTATAGGATCAATCTATAAATCCATCTAGTACAGGTATTGGTCTAAAAGATGCTAATAATTATTGCTATTCTCCTGAAGTTTAATTCTACCTCTATGTCTCTAATATAGACTGCAGATAGACACACACACACATATATTGTAGGTCCTCTATTAGTCCTCTCTTACTATATACACAAAACCCTAAGTTATATCTATTTTGGATTCGAGGCATTCAGAAGGGACAATTCTTTGTTGAGAGGCCATTCTGAAACAAACTTTATATCTCTTAGTCTTATCCCAACAAGCAGAGAGAAAAATCCTATTAGGCCAGGGTTATTTTTCTCCAAATATATGTATACAGAAGAGGTAAGTATTTAGCATCAATTATTAAAGTTAAAGGGCAACAACAAATATCCCACTATCATACATAGGCCTTTAAAATATACTATCATTTCATCTTAAAAATTATGTGAAAAAGAAAGTGAAAGATTTATTTTTCCAGCTTTGTAGACAGAAAAATGAGATTAAATGATGTATGCAGGATACAATTAGTGTTGGGATAGAATTCGGGTCTTCTTATTCCTCTTGCATAATCTTCCTATTCTACTGCACTGTTTTTTATTATTGCTCCTGCAAGCGTTCGATGAACTTTATGCTTTATAACAAGTTTTAATTTGACAAATGTATAAAAACACTTGTAAGGAATGCAAATTTGATCTTTTTTACCAGGTTCCTAAAACTTCTTAATTGAAAGTATAGAAATGTCTATACTAAAATTCTGTACTCTCTGAGCAGTAGGTTAGACTATAGCAAACTTTTTATAGAAATGGAGCTTAGTGTTCAGAGATAAAATCTGGGAATACTCTGTCTGGGAATACAGTGTGGCTAGACAGACTGACTTGCTTTTCTCTTAGCCTTATATTACCTTTATGCAATGCAATCTACTTATATATTATCCTGATGCAAACTTATATAGCTGTCCAATAACTTTACAGTTGAGGTGCAAATCTTCCCAGAAAAGATTCTTCTTTGGGGGGAATCGGCCAAATCTTCACAAAACCTACATTTGTGTCATTACTAGGCTACAATGAATATCCAAACTTTTCATCACATTTTTATATATATAAAAGTTTTATATACGTGAAAGTTTTATCTAGACAGATGTATTTTAATAGGTTATTTACAATTAGAGATCTCTAAATTTTACTTTAAAGGAGAGAACATAACCATATAGAAAAGGGTGTAACAGGCTCTTCTCAGTCTTAAAATATAGTTCACTGTTGACACTAAAGACTGAGAGACATGATCATTACTCTTTAATATTCATCTATCTTCTCTGTTGTGATGCTGTTAGCACAGAAGAAAAAGGGCTTTTTTGCTGCAAAATTGAAGCATTATTTGAGTGCTTAACATTTCAACTACTAACTTTACAAAATTATTGTTGTACTTTGTAAAACCACAAACTATTATTTTCAAATCTTGACGGTATGCTTATAAGTATATATAGGGTCAAAACTTTAATTTTTGAAAAAGTCATATAAAAGCATCATACTTTCCTATAATAAACTAGATTGGTTAAATGACATCATTTAAATGAGTCAAAGAAATCTTTTGTTAGTGCCATCAAAGCATCAGACACTTTTGCCAACCATACCAGTCTTTATGATCTCCACAATTACGTCCAATAAAGCTATGGTCCTGACCTTTTGTGTTATGCTACTTCATTCAAATATTTCAACAAAATATGTTTAGAATAGTGCTTCTCATACTGATTGCTGTATAGATAGTCTGGGGGTCTTGTTAAAATCCAGATTCCTATTCAGATGAGACCTGCCTGAGATTCTGATTTATATAAATAATAATAATGTAGATGCTGCTGATCACAGACCATACTACAAGTAGCAGTAGCCTAGGCCTTTACTGGGTCACAAATGTTGCAATGTACAGCTGTCTGGCAATTTCCATTCTAATACTTTATCTTGATAGAAGTGAACTTTGAATGGCAATCATTTCCAAATATTTTGAAAATTTGGAATATCTGAATATTCATAATAAATCATTAGAAAATAATTTTGAAATACACATTTTAGTTTTATTAACCAACTGAAACATAAGCTAATAAAAAGCATTTAATGCCCTTCTCGCACAAGTGCCTAAATTTAATATAAAATTAAAGGTACGAACCTTGTTTGGCTTTGTCTCGCATAGGAGTCATGTAACCTTCCTCATCCAGCTCTCCTCGTGGGCTCCGTTCTGGGGCAAACACGGTGGGGTCAGCACTGTACCTCTGAGTGCTACTGTCCTCTTGGACATGGGGTGTCACTGGCTTGCGTAGGGTGCCATTACAGCAGGAGTCATCAAAAATCTCAGCTGTAGCACCCTGTGCAACAGGAGCTTCTGGAATTGTGCTAGTCGGGGCTCTGTAGGGCACAGACACTCCTTGTTCTGCAGCAAAGCCTCCATCTCGGTATACAAACTGGTTCTGTTAATAAGAGAAACACATTTGGAGAGGTGATGTTAGAAATAGTTGAAAAATGAATGCTAATAACCAAAAGGATATCAAAGCTAGTCTTTCAGAGAATAGTCATAGCATTTATTGTTTTTTTTTTTTTTTCCCTCCTAGTGGCTAATGAATTTGAGTCACAAACTAGAAACTCCTAAAATTTCTACTCCTCTTAAAAGATAAATCATCAGAAAATAATTTTGAAATGCCCATTTTAGTTTTATTAACCAACTGAAACATAATCTAATAAAAAGTATTTGATGCCCTTTTCCCACAAGTTCCTATGTTTAATAGAAAATTCAAAGTGAATTTTTATGATAAATGGCAGTTGATTAATTGTAGATAGTTGTCATTAAGAATAGAAGTACTTGGGTATATTTTGAATGAGCCTATGTCTTTATTGACTTCTAAAATTCTGTGGTTATTATGAATTTGACGCTTTAGCGCCTAAATAGCAGATCATCACTATAATTCTGACTTTTTAGTACATGACCTATAATCAGGGAAGTAACATCCACATCCAGAAGCGTAATTTATATGCCAGGTTAAATCCTTCAGATAAAAATTGAAAGCTACTGTTGATGCATGACATCTCAATTTTGGATTATCAACTGAGATAAAAACACAACTGAGATAAAAAGGCAGCTACACAATGTACAGCAAATTCTTAACTCACTGTTGGCAAAGGCAAAATGAGGAAATTATGCAGAGACAAGAGAGAGGAAACATGGTAAGCAAAGACCAAAATTCCTAAAAGATGAAGGTTGATTGTGAAATACTTACTCCTGACATGGGGGTGTAGGCAGGAGGAGGGCTGTGTCCAATTTCACTCTAATAGGAAAGAAAAATGGAATGATGGATATAATAGGCAATATGAATGAAAAAATTAAAAAAAGAAACGAAAAAGAAAATGAATCGTATGAACCGAAGGGGAAAAGTGCACAACAGTGAAGCTTCCTAAGCAGTAAAATTGTATGCATTCTGACTATCAGCAAGTTAACTTATAGGTTTTGAGGAAAATAAATGTTTTAACTCAATCCCTGAAAAGGAAAGTTATACAGAAAAAGTAAAACTTTTCAATGGATTAAAAAAGTGAATAATAAACATTCTTCTGACTAACCCTAGAGTAAAGGAAAAAGTAGTAAATAAGCTATAGCTGTAAATGGAAAATGGTTCCTTTCTTTACATGTTAAAAGCCTGAACCAGCCATATACTCTGGTATTATTCTTTCTCTTATAAGAAATGTATTTGGAAGGAGATGGGAGGAGATTTCAATTTGCCTGGAATAATTTTTGCTATCAAGCCACATTTATTTTTCACCACTTCAGCAAAGGATAAACCCCTTAGCTTCTCCTTATGAAAGGTATATGCGATTTCATCTTCCGTGTTACATGTTTTCTTTTTTTAAGAAACAGCAGGACATTTGGAAAATCAATTCCTTTCCTGGAAACATGCTTTAGAGTCCCCTTATACATTTATAATGAGTCAAAATCAGATTTCGGTTAAACAGCAAAAATACATCTATATTTCTATAGCTTAATGCTCCATCCTATGGGGCTAACTGAAAGAGAATATAAAAATATGATAAAATATGAAGGACAGTGTTCCTTAGGGTAAGGTAAAGGTGTTGTATGAGACTAATTCTATTTCTTAATAAAAAATACATTAAACAGATTTCTTGAGAACCTACTGTCTATGTGCGAGGCACTTTTCTAGGCACAGGGATAAAAAATAACACAGACCCAAACTGCTTGATTTTATGAAGCTTATATTCTCTACATTCCAGCTTTGAGTAAACAGAGATGACCAAAACCTGTAAGACACCTTACATCTTTTATATGAAACAGATAAATATTATTCCAGGTCAATGTTCATATAATTTAGATTTACAAAGCATTCTAAGAATACGGTTCCATGGAGATTAAGTGTTTAATGTAAATCAGTAACAACTGGATAGTATAATCTCCCTTAACTTAGTCTGCTGGACTAACCAAGGGACAAGTTCTGAATCCCTATAGTGAGGTTATATCCTAGTTTTCTCCATAACTATGGTGGCATTAATATACATATTTTCTTCTTTAGTAACATAATTAATAACACATCAAAAGATTATGGCATGGAAAGTTAGAGATATATGTAATATACAATACATAGGAGGTGCTGCTGTGCACCAGACAGACTGTTTAATGACCTGGGCTCCAGTTCTAATGATAAGTGGTATGAATTTGGTGAATCATGAAACATCTCAGACCTCCATTTTCACTGTTTGTCTCTCTATTTTATTCTTAATAAATATAAAGTAAGATAATGTATGTAAATGAACTTTGTAAACTCTGCACTATTATAAAAATGTGTAAATATATAACATTTAAACATTTATATCTGCTAAATTGAATTTTTAAAGCAATCAAGATGCCAAAACTACTCATCAAAGAGGCATTTTAAAATGCTTACCTGTTCTCTAATCATTTTAAATACAGGCATATTTTATTATATTTTAGAAATACATGAAATCTATATTTTAGAAGTACATTTGTTCATAAAACTTGAGAAATTTATAGTCCAGTGATGTGCAAAGTAGAGTGATAGTACAGGAAACATGAACTGCCTGGTGGAACTTCACCAAATTACAAATACTGGCCTTACCCTCATCATTAAACACCAATTATTTAGCAAGTATTTAACAAATATTTACTAAATCTCTGCAGTGAAAGCACAGGTGCTGTGGTAGGTGCCAGAGATGCCACAATACACTAAGAAAGACATGACCACTGTCCTTTTAGAATTTACAGTATCAAATATAATCTGCGATTGTTGAAAGTAAAGGCAAGAATGAAACAAGGAAATTTATTTCAATTCTATGATTATATATTAGAATGCAAGGTATTCCAAAATATTCATAATTACTAGTGCTCCTTTGACATTTGACCCTGCAGAAGTTGCTGTACTGGGTAATGTTTAACTAGAATTACAGCTGAGAAATGAGTATTGATTGCACATTTTGCATTTTACAGAACTTGAGACATAATCAAAGAAACAACCTGCAAGTCATTCTTCATCAGGGAACAGTTTATTATCTATATTCATTATCTGGGCTAGAATGCCTTCCATTGTAAAGGCAATGGATTAAAATAACTGGACCTCTTGTGGTTAGTGTGTTTCAAGACACAAAGCAAGGCCATGCCCTATTAGAATGCATCCACTGTCCCAGCTTTGACAAGTCTTTCAGTCAGCAACCTGCCAACTCTAACTGGACAAACTGCCAAATCGCATCACAGTAATAGGAGCATCTTCATGAATTTTCCTGTTTTCAGCATTAAAATGAAAAAAATGCTAAGCAAAACCCCTTTAGCATTCATTGTTTTTAGGGTTACTGGCTGCTTTTTATGTTTCTGTTTCCATTTTTTCAGTTTGCTTTTTTATCTGTTTTCCATGATAAAAAGCACCTCATTCATTTCCCCGTGGAAGGGCAATGCAGCTCCAAGGGAACATCTGTGAGGCCAATTAGCTGGGCTGGAAATGTGATATAATTGTTGTTTAAATATATTTAAATTACATGTTAATCACGATGTCATAATTTATAAGCTTTGAAAATAACTTTTTGTACTTCAGAGCCAAGCCAGATTTTACTTGTTTTTGCTGTTTTTAGTTTGTAACAAGCTCTTCTCATTTCTCTCTCCCTCAATTCCCCACACTTGAAGAGCTGAACTTTTAATATTGGAAAGAATGACAGCTGCAAGTAAATTGGTTGAGTAAAAATTAAGATCCTCACAGCAGTCAAAATGAGCTGGAATGACCTTAAAGTTCTAAGCAGAACAAAGCAATGCTCTCAGTAAAATCTTTTGTTTTTTCATTGTGCTACTTTCTGCTGTCCATCAAAGTCCAGCTTTACAGATCTTTAGGAAGCAGCACTGGGTGCATCTGTTCAATTAGCTGGTGAGGCGATTTACTGTCAGCAAGGCAGAGATAGGAGGAGGTAGGTTATGAACTGGCAGGTGATACTGAGTTTGTTCCTGGTGGGGGCGGTTTGTAAGGGTGATGGATGGAATGAGTTTAATTCTGTGGCCATGTAACTAGGACATTGTATGATTAACTTGGACTTAAATGCCAGAGATTATAGAGAAGGCAAGTATCAGCAAACAAATCAAATACAGTATTAAATTCATTCTCAAATATACCATGTCCTAAAATTTACTTTTTAGTTGAATGATAAATATTAGAACCTTTGTCTCATATGTACAGTATTTCTTATATTTGTATTGTTTAATACTGTTCCTGTGAAATTTTAATTGTTAAATAGATGGACTGTATTTTGTGATATTTAAAAAATTATTATACAAATCTACTTTCAGAGGAAACAAAAATACAGACCTAATGCCTAATTTCTATCTAATTTTTAATCTTTAAGTATTACTTTCAATATTAGCTAAAAGATTACAATTTCAAGGGTCAAGAAATACTCCAAATTCCTTTTTCTTAAAATAAAATGTCTCTAAGATGTTGCTAATCCATTAGCACTAATTTATTATCTAGACATTTCCACATAGTAACTATTAAAGATTCTCAACCTTTTATCTTCCCTGATATATCTGCTTAACACTCTGATGGAAATTTCCATACTTTCACAGGGCACATAGCAGCATACAGAAAATGTTTATTGCATTATGTTATAATTATTGCATTATAAATTATAATTCCCGATGCATGGTTGTAACTCTGCATCTTTCTCAACGGAGTTCAACGTACCAGTGTTTTGAGACATTCAGATTTAGAACCTTCATTTTTTCACAGGGCAATCAGAAGGAAACAAACAAAATGTGTCCATATGTGTCAAAGCTGATAATGGCTGGGAGAAGCTTACTGAGAGTTCAGCAGCTGGCTGAATTTTATACATACTACACATAATGTCTTTTGTCTGTTTATGTATACATATATTTATTTACTCATTTTTCTATATGGTTTGATTTTGTGGGACTCTACTTTTTGAAGAAACTTTCTTATTCTGCGTGCACACACATACACACACACACCAATAATGATCCTATGATCGAATTGAAGACATATTGATGTGGGCTTTCATTCTTTTATTATTATTTTAAGAGAGAGTCTTGCTCTGTCACTCAAGCTGGAGTGCATTGCTGCAATCTAGGCTCAGTGCAACCTCTGCCTCCCGGGTTCAAGGAATTCTCTGCCTCAGCCTCCCCAGTAGCTAGGATTACAGGCACCAGCCACCACACCCACCTAATTTTTGTATTTTTAGTAGAGACAGGGTTTTACCATCTTGGCCATGATGGTCTTGAACTCCTTACATTGGCCTCCCAAAGTTCTGGGTTTACAGATGTGAGCCAGGCCCAGCCGGCTCTCATTCTTTATCCAGTTATTGACCTTTCATCTTTCTTATATGCCTCATGTACTCAAATTAAAAATTTAACCAATGGTCTATAAGTAGTATCTGTAAATATGAACAAGAGTCAATACAGAATTTACAAAGCATATGGAAGTGGTGTATTTTATAAAAATACTTTGCTTAAGTCTGTCTTCAAAGTGTATTTTCTTGTCCATTCTGTTTCACAGATGAATAGATGATGAGTCTTAGGGAAATCAAGAAATAGAGGAATATGTATATGTATGTATTATATACACTATACCATGAACAATTTTAGGTGTTATTTATTCTTATAAACTTGCAAGGTAAATAGTGTTATTAAAAATTATAACTCCCATTTATAGACAAAAAATGGAGGAGCAGAGAAAGGATATGCCATGTGCACACATCCATAGTTGGCCACAAAGCCCATCACTCTATCATACTACACATAGGTTTTCACTTT